CAGGTGACACAGGGCTGGCTGTAGCTCAGTGTAGGTGGCTGTGGGTGGCTCTGGGTGTCCCAGGTGACACTCAGGTGACACTGTCCCACGTCCCCAGGGCGGCATGCTGGCCGTCAGGGAGAACCGGTACCGGGGCTGGCACAGGTGTGGCTGTGGGTGACACAGGGCTGGCTGTGGCTGGCTGTAGGTGACACAGGTGACACTCAGGTGACACAGGGGTGGCTGTGACACTGTCCCGTGTCCCCAGGGTGGCATGCTGGCCGTCAGGGAGAACCGGTACATCGTGCTGGCCAAGGACTTTGAGAAGGCGTACAAAACCGTCATCAAGAAGGACGAGCAGGAGCACGAGTTCTACAAGTGACACCGCGGGGACACCCTGGGGACACCTTGGGGACACCTTGGGGACACCCCTGGGATATTGCGGGGACACCTTGGGGACGTTCAAATAAAGCTGAGACCGGAGCGAGAGCGTTGGAGCCTTTTTGGGGACACCCTTGGGGACAAGGGGACACCCTGGGGACAGTGGGAAGGACTTGGGGACATTCCTTGGGACATGGGGACACCTTTGGGGACCTGGGGACACCCTTGGGGGGACTGGAATGGATCTGGGGACACTGGGAAGGACTTGGGGACATTCCTCGGGACATGGGGACACCTTTGGGGACCTGGGGACACCCTTGGGGGGACTGGAATGGATCTGGGGACACTGGGAAGGACTTGGGGACATTCCTCGGGACATGGGGACACCTTTGGGGACCTGGGGACACCCTTGGGGACACTGGGACATGGCTGGGGACACCCTTGGGGACACCAGGAGGGACCTGGGGACACCCATGGGGACACTGGGATGGCCCTGGGGACATTCCTGGGGACATGGGGACACCGGGAGGGACCTGGGGACACTTTGGGGACACCAGGGGGGACCTGGGGACATCCATGGGGACATGGGGACACTTCGGGGACACTGGGATATTGCTGGGGACACCCCTGGGGACACTGGGAAGGGCTTGGGGACATTCCTGGGGATGTGGGGACATCACTGGGGACATGGGGACACTCCTGGGGGCATGGGGACACTGGGAAGGACTTGGGGACACCCTTGGGGACATCCCTGGGGACACTGGGATGGCCCTGGGGACACCAGGAGGGACCTGGGGACACTCTTGGGTACATGGGGACACCCTTGGGGACACGGGGAGGGACCTGGGGACACTTTAGGGCCACTGGGAAGGACTTGGGGACACTCTTGGGGACATGGGGACATCCCTGGGGACAGAGGGACATGGCCCAAAATGTCACCTGGGATCTCAAAATGTCCCTAAATGTCTCCAAATGTCACTTGAGACCCCCAAATGTCCCCAAAATGTCCCCAAATGTCCTCAAATGTCAACTGGGATCACAAAATGTCACCTGGGACCCCAAAATGTCCCTAAAATGTCTCAAAATGTCCCCAAATGTCCCCAAAATGTCACCTGGGACCTCAAAATGTCCCTAAAATGTCTCCAAATGTCACCTGAGACCCCCAAATGTCCTCAAAATGTCCCCAGATGTCACAAAAATGTCACCTGAGACCCCAAAATGTCCCAAAAATGTCCCTAAAATGCCTCAAAATGTCCTCAAATGTCCCAAATATGTCACCTGGGACCTCAAAATGTCCCTGAAATGTCCCTAAATGTCCCCAAAATGTCCCTAAATGTCCCCAAAATGTCACCTGGGACCCCCAAATGTCCTCAAAATGTCCCTGAAATGCCCCTAAATGTCCCTAAAATGTCCCTAAATGTCCCCAAAATGTCACCTGGGACCCCCAAATGTCCTCAAAATGTCCCTAAAATGTCCCTAAATGTCCCTAAAATGTCCCTAAATGTCCCCAAAATGTCCCCAAAATGTCCCTAAATGTCCCTAAATATCCCCAAAATGTCACCTGGGACCCCCAAATGTCCTCAAAATGTCCCAAAATGTCTCTGAAATGTCCCAAAAATGTCCCCAAATGTCACAAAAATGTCACCGGGGCCCCCAAAATATCCCTAAATGTCCCCAAAATGTCCCCAAAATGTCCCTAAATGTCCCTAAAATGTCCCTAAATGTCCCTAAAATGTCCCTAAATGTCCCTAAAATGTCCCTAAATGTCCCTAAAATGTCCCTAAATGTCCCTAAAATGTCCCTAAATGTCCCTAAAATGTCCCTAAATGTCCCCAAAATGTCCCCTGGGACCCCCAAATGTCCTCAAAATGTCCCAAAATGTCTCTGAAATGTCCCAAAAATGTCCCCAAATGTCACAAAAATGTCACCGGGGACCCCAAAATATCCCTAAATGTCCCCAAAATGTCACCGGGGACCCCAAAATGTCCCAAAATGTCCCCAAATGTCATCTGGGACCCCAGAATGTCCCAAAATGTCACCGGGGACCCCAAAATGTCCCAAAATGTCCCCAAATGTCATCTGGGACCCCCAAAATGTCCAAATGGGCCAAATTTGAGTCGATTTTGGGTCAATTTTGGGCCAATTTCAGGGGTTTGGGGCTGGATTTTGATGGATTTTTTAAATTTTTTGATGGATTTGGCGCAAATTTTGGGAATTTTTGGGGATTTTTTTGGGAATTTTGGGGCTCCCTGTTCCCATCCCAAATTTTGGGGTCCCCAGGGTGAATTTTGGGTCCATTTTGGAGGATTTTGGGTCCATTTTAGGTTGGATTTTGATGGATTTGGGGTCAATTTTGGTGAAATTTGGGCAAATTTTGGGGGAATTTGGGGTTTTTTTAGGATTTTTTGGGAATTTTGGGGCTCTTTATTCCCCATCCCAAATTTGGGGTCTCGGGGTTGGATTTTGAGGGATTTTGGGTCAATTTTAATCATTTGGGGCGGGATTTTCACAAATTTTGGCCAAATTTCAACAGAAATTTTGGGGAGTTTTGGGGTTTTTTGGGGAAAATTTGGGAATTCCGACATTCCTGATCCCCCTCCCCATTTTTGGGGTCCTGAGGGTGAATTTTTGGGGCCATTTTAGGCTGGATTTTGATGCTTTTTTGGCAAATTTTGAGGGGTTTTGGACCAAATTTTGGGCAAATTTCAACGGAATTTTGGGGATTTTTGGGGAATTTTGGGGAAAATTTGGAAATTCTCTCTTGATCCCCCTTTTCTCCCCCTCCCTGTAATTTTGGGGGTCCTGGGGATGGATTTTGGGTCCAATTTGGATAAATTTTAACCATTTTTGGTTGTTTTTTACCAAATTTCAGTCCAATTTTGACAGAATTTCACAGGTTTTTTTGGGAATTTTGGGGAAAATTCGTAAATTCCTTCCCGACCCCCTTGTCCCCCTCCCTATAATTTTGTGGGTCCTGGTGGTGGATTTTGGGTCCAATTTGGGTCAATTTTAACAATTTTTGGGTGGATTTTTGAAGGTTTTTTTTACCGAATTACAGTCAAATTTTGACAGAATTTCACAGGATTCTTTTTGGAATTTGGGGAAAATTCCTGAATTCCTTCCTGACCCCCCCTTGTCCCCCTGCCCGCAGTTTCGGGGCGCTGAGGGTGGTTTTTGGGTCTAATTTGGGTCGATTTTAACCATTTTTGGTTGGTTTTTTATCAAATTTTGACGGAATTTCACGGGATTTTTTTTGGAATTTGGGGAAAATCCCTGAATTCCTTCCTGACCCCCCCTTGTCCCCCTGCCCGCAGTTTCGGGGGCGCTGGGGGGCTGCGTGGAGGTGGCCTCGGGCACCGAGGCCGTGCTGGGCGCGCCGTTCCGGCTGCTCTGCATCGCCTGCAAGCGCCGCAGTGAGACCCCGGCCGAGGCCGAGAGCGAGTGGTTCTTCCGGCCCGAGGGGGCCCCCCACTTCGAGAAGGTCACTGGGGGGAACTGGGAGGGATTGGGAGGTGGTTGGAGTGGAGTGGGAGGGACTGGGATGAACTGGGAGGGACTGGGAGGGAATTGAGAGGATGGTGCAGTTCCCAAAGCCACCACCAGGGGGAGCCGGGGAAACACTGGGAGTTCATTGAGGGGAACTGGGAGGGACTGGGATGGACTGGGAGGGACTGGGGGAGACTGGGATGGACTGGGAGGTGGATGGAATGGACTGGGAGTAACTGGGATGAACTGGGAGTTACTGGGACAAAACTGCAGTTCCTTGAATGGCCACCAGGGGGAGCTGGGGAAACACTGGGAGTTCATGGAGGGGGATTGGGAGGGACTGGGATGGACTGGGGGAGACTGGGATGGATTGGGAGGGACTGGGAGGGGATTGGGGCAAACTGGGAGGGACTGGGAGGTGGTTGGAGTGGACTGGGAGCAACTGGGAGGGACTGGGAGGGACTGGGAGGAACCTGCAGTTCCAAAAAACCACCACCAGGGGGAGCTGGGAAATCACTGGGAGTTCATTGAGGGGAATTGGGAGGGACTGGGATGGATTGGGAGGGACTGGGATGAACTGGGAATTACTGGGAGGTGGTTGGAATGGACTGGGATGAACTGGGAGCCACTGGGAGGACAATGCAGTTACGAGAGCCGCCACCAGAGGGAGCCAGGGAAACACTGGGAGTTCATTGAGGGGAATTGGGAGGGACTGGGATGGACTGGGAGGGACTGGGAGGTGGATGGAGTGGACTGGGAGGGACTGGGACGGACTGGGAGTGGGTTGGAATGGACTGGGAGGGACTGGGAACAAGTGGGAGCTACTGGAACCTACTGGGGAGAAACTTGGGCTGTACTGGGAGTTACTCGGGAGAGCCTGGAGGGGCACTAGGCCATACTGGGAGCCACTGGGCCAAACTGGGAGCCACTGGGCCATACTGGGAGCCACTGGGCTGAACTGGGAGCTGCAGTAAGACCCCGTTGCAATACCAGACTCAACCACCAGACGGCGCCACTGAGCCGAGCCAATTTCCAGTCCCTTCCCGCCAGCCTTTACTGGTTCTTACTGGTTTTTAGCGGTTCTTACTGGTTCTTACTGGTTTTTACTGGTGCAGATCCTGCACTACAGCCCCGAGGAGGGCGAATGGGTGGCTCCTGGCTCTTACTGGTTTTTACTGTTTTTTACCAGTTCTTACCCGTCCTTACTGGTTTTTACTGGTTTTTACTGGTGCAGATCCTGCACTACAGCCCCGAGGAGGGCGAGTGGGTGGCTCCTGGCTCTTACTGGTTCTTACTGGTTTTTAACGGTTCTTACAAGTTGTAACTGGTTTTTACTGGTTCTTTCTGCTTGTTACTGGTCCTCACTGGTTCTTACTGGTTTTTACCGGGCCTTACTGGTTGTTACTGGTTTTCACTGGTGCAGATCCTGCACTACAGCCCTGAGGAGGGCGAGTGGGTGGCCCCGGGCACTTACTGGTTGTTACTGGTTTTTACTGGTTCTTACTGTTTTTTACAGTTTTTTGACAAAGGTGCTGGGACGAACTGGGACAAACTGGGAGGGACTGGGAGGGACTGGGAGGCACTGGGATGGAGCTGGAGGCGAGTAAAAGGGAGTT